AGTCCCTCAGGTTTGAGACTTTGAAGAAAATCATGCAGATGGCACATCTGCTTTGAGAGCAACTTCACAAGCTCGTTCCAGGTCAATAGGCTGTTCTTGAATACTTCATTTAAATATCACAGGAATCTCATTTTTCTAAAAGGACAGTAGTCCCCCAGAATCTTCCCTGTCTGGAAGTCGATGAGCAATTTTATTGAACATACTGAAACTTTATTCTTCTTGCATGTCAGGTGAGCTGACTGAGCTAGGCCCTCCTTGTCATCAGCAGTGTTTTTTGTTTGAGGTGGTTGGGATTCAACAGTGTTCACCTGGATCTCCAAATCATTTACTTGAGAGGTGAGTTTATCTAATTTGGCATCCATACCTACTACAGATCTTCTACAATTTTTATTAATTTGTTCCAAAATATTGTGGCTAGAGTTGTCTGGATCTGAAGCAGCAATGAGACAGCTGGATGCACAATAGCTTGGGGTGAATGCTGCAGAGTCAGATTGTGCACATAGAATTTTGACTTTAAAAAAATCTGCCTCATCCATTTGATTTTGGATTTTGAAACATTCCTTTTATAACAGGGTAGTAAATATACAGATTGCCTTTTGTAATAGAGTCTCAGGTCATGACCTTGGCTAAATGAATACAGAGATATTTGAAACCTACAGCAGAAGTTAGGAACAAGTACAAACTCCTTGCTCTGCTGGCAAGGCCTGCTCTCACTTTTGTCTTTTCAGCCTCTTTGAATCCACAGTTTCTTTCCGGACACTTCATTATAGCAATTTGGCAAGTTAGGTTCACATGGACTTGTTAACTGTGAATGAGATTCTGTGCACACCAGCCACCAATCCAGAACTAGTCTATTGCCTCTCTTGTGCCTGTCTGTTAGGGAGAAATAGAAATTGAAAATTGTCTTTTGGGAACTGTATACCTCCAGTGTAGTGACTTGAGCCTTTTGTTTAGTAGTTCCCCAAGCAAGTGCTTCCATAATGGTGGGAGAGAAAAATAAAAAATCCATATTGATATGCTCACTCCCACCCCTGTCCCTCTACCACTGGTTACATGTAGGAAATACACAACAGGAAGGAAGGCTCAGGACTAGTGTCTCTGAAGCAATGGCTTCCAATCCACTATTAAGAACACAGGTTCTGAGAAGAAGTTAGAGGTGAGAATAATGGCTAATAATGCTATGCTGAACTTTGTAGCTGACAGCACTATTGACAGGAGACTAGACACACACGGCCAAATTTCTGAAAGACAGGCCTACATTCTGAATGTAAAAAATGTGAGTGAACTTGAATATTTCTAGCTGCATATGCAGTGATTACTGTTGTAGCTCACACTGTGGATTTTCAGGCACATGTTGCCATTTAGATTCCTGATGAGCCATGTATGGATGCAAAACCTTATTTCTGTATGTAATCCTGGTAATTGCCTATGTATTTTTGCATGTGAAACTCAGGCTTATTTTTAATTTATAAAATGAGCTTGATTGTACATGCATCTTGACTTGTTATAAACTTTAAAAACCTCCACAATTACTTCAACTTTTAGTTTCAAGATATAAAGGAAAAACAATAAGCCTTCTACAAAAACTAACTAAATGCCAACCCATAAATCACCACTCCCCATGTCACGCAATATCCTGAGTGAAGAAACAAGCCGCACCCAATACCCTATACCTCAAAAGAAGTCAAATTCTGTCACACTAGCAGGGAGAAAGAATTCTGGGGTCAAGGCCTGGCATGACAGAATCTCCTACCACAAGCTCTAAGACATTTCATTCTAGATACCTAGCTTGAGGCTCTCAGCTGACTTCCCCCACCATGGCAACGAGTCTTACAAACAGCCAAGATCAGAATCACCTTCTTTAATTGAACCAGTTAAGTCTATACAGTCTATCAGAAAGTCTATGCAGTTCCTGAAGAAAATGACCTAATATGTATTCTGTGGCTAGCACTGCTTAATAGGTAGCCAGTCATGTTCTACATTAGCTGCCTCTTCCAAGTGGCCGACATAGAACATTTTACAGTTATCCAGTCTAGAAGTCACAGGGGCCTAGACTATCATAACAAAGTCCCAATTGCCTATTTAGGTGGACACTGCAGGGGTGGGAAGGGAAAGCCAGCTTTTTCCCCCCACTGGCATCACCTGATATTGCAGGAGCAGTCAGAAGTCCAAAACATCCCTAGATTTTTAGCCTCCTGAACAAAGGATAGAGAAACCCTTGAGACTGAAAATACCCCTGCTATGCCCTCTAGATCAAACCCACAGTCTGTAGCATTTAATGAACAAGGTCCATTCTATTCTCATATCTTTAAGCACAATCAGTGTTACTGTGAATTGGAAGCTGTGCAGTTTTCAAAACAGAGGGGGCAAAACAAGTGGTGAGCTAAAAATAGGCTGTTACTCAAACTTCAAGAAATTCTCTAGAGATAGGATTTCCTGATATGAGATTCAAGTTAATAGGAAGTGCCCTTCCTGTGTTTTTTAGGATGCAAGGGTAACGAGTTTGTTTTCAGCAGACTTAAAGTGGAGTCTGATCTGAGTTCATTGTTTTAAAGTGACCTTTTCTGCAAAATGTAAATTTGGTAGATCGTGTCCCTCAATAGTTAGGCATGATTTTGAAACAACTGTAGTGTCACTTATATTTTTATGTGCAAAGAGTCCTTAAGGAAATTGTGCATTGTCCCTATAAATTTAGGATGAGATCCATATATTCTTATTCACTCTGGGTAGTGCCTTACTTCACACGTAGCCCCATCAAAGTCAATGGAACCACTTGTGGCTATTCCAGGAGAGTAAGGGGATTAGAATCTAGCTCTTAAAAGTACCTAGATTTTACATAAGTACAATAATCATTCAACACACAGGCTCTGATGTGCCTTTCATTAAACTCACCTGACAGAACATATTCAGCCAACTAGAACTCATACAAGAAAAACAACAACTACTTTAGGTAGAGATTATGATTTACTATAACAGAGTTTCCAAATTCTGATTAAAAACAGTTTGGTCTTGTCTACACTAGCAAGCCACAACAGGCTCGATACCTCCTATTGCTGAAGTCGATGATATTTTGGATGCTGTATCTGCAGTTCACCTTTAATAATTAAACCTCATATACTTCAACACAGTGGGTGTCCACCTTAACACCAGTTTATTAAATCCTGTTGTTTCTGGTTAAGAGAGGTTTAGGTCTGTGGATTTCCTTGCTCTTTGACGTTTTGGGTACTTAAACAACAAATACTACAGAAAAAGAATATTTGAATGACTGGTAAGAGTTAATCTCACTTTTGTACAGCACGATTAAATAAACAGAGTAACTGACTTCACAAGAGTCAGAGTGAGGAGAGCATACACTTCAGAGAAAAAATAATTGAATCATTAGGACCATATCTAGCCAGCATTGCAAGAAAGAAACTCTCACTGAAAGGTGAGAGAGTTTGATAACAAAACCCCTGGGAGATTATGGATATTACAAATAATCTCTTTTGATTCTTTGCTGTAGCAGCAAAACACTAAGGTTTTTCAACATTCCCAGCAGCTACAAAGAGATCCTATTAGATAAAATTCAGGAGTTTTTTTAAAAAGAAAAATACAGGTTTAAGCAATTTTATGCCTTAAAATAATACTTTTTCATTCAAATACTTTAAAAATCTATGCACAAGTAAGCAAATATTATCCCAATGTTATTCTCCTTATTGGAAAACAAACCTCTTCTCTACTTAAGTGACTTGCTCAATGTTAAATAGTGAGCCAGTAGCAAAACCAGGATTAGAATCCAGGAGGCAAATTCTCAAATACAGGTTATGCAACTTCCAGGGGAGTCAGCAGGAGCTACATGTATGTATTTGACCCCTAGCTTCTATGTTCCAGTCCTGTTCTCTAACCACTAGGCATGAAACCTCCCCTATGTTCTGATGAATACTGGGAGTTTTACTACCTTTCATTGAAGTGTTTAAAATTTTTTTAATATCTTTTTCTTTTAAAAAGTAAATACAAAAAGGGTCAGAAAGAACTCAGATTTAGCTATATAAAACCTGACAAATGCTTACATAGATTTTCCCTTTTCATATAAAGCACAAATGTTGTGCGTTTCAGTGATGTCATCAGCCTCAATTTTATTTGTTTGCTTGTCAGTTTGTGTCAATAAGCATGACTTAATAGCAATCACATATACATGCACTCACACCCATTTTGATATTAGTTTGAGTTTCCAAAATATATAGCATTGAAACAACATTTTCAAGTAACATATGCAAACAAGTTTCAAGTGGTCCATCCTGATTATCACTACAAAAGTCCCCCCCCCCCCCCCGCTGCTAATAGCCCACCTTAATCGATTGGTCTCGTTAAGAGTTGGTATGGCAACCCCCATTTTTTCATGTTCTCTGTATATATATTTTCCTACTGTATTTTCCACTGCAGGCATCTGATGAAGTGGGCTTTAGCCCACGAAAGCTTATGCTCAAATAAATTTGTTAGTCTCTAAGGCGCCACAAGTACTCCTCGTTCTTAAATGCAAACAAGTTTAGCTTGTATAACAATTTAGCCCTACTTATAGATAAAGCCCTATTTTATCAGTATTTTAAATATTATGGGGCAGATCTCCAGGTCTGGCTGAGCCATGCTCTGCATGGAACCAAGGATGGGAAAATAGGAGGGAAGATGGTTCCAAGAATCTCAGAGCATGACAATCAAACTCCACCCTGCTCCTGACAATGCCCCCAGCCAGCCCAAATACGCTCCCTATATCAGGTGGATGCTCTCTGGCCCGTTTGTGCAGCCAGAGCAGTGCAAAAGGAAGAGAGCCAGGAGTCAGGATGTGGTCCTACACATCAACCTTCCACACAATCTGCGGTCTGCAAGATGTTTTCATCTAAACGTTAAGTACAGCATAACTTAAATACCAGGAAGCAACTGTATGAGTTTAAAAGCCTTTCCATACATTCCCTAGTATATAAAAGTGGAAAGCATTCAACTGCGTATTTAAACAGAAATCTCACCTTATTGTGTTCATACTTGTATGGGATTTTGAGTGTATCCATAGCTCTGATCATAGCTTGCATTGCTGTAAATATATTCTGATACACGAGTTTTGTGAAACCCCTTTTGTCTTCGTCAGAGTATCCTGATCCATGGATGATTCTCATCTGTTTGATGAATGTGCTTTTGCCACTTTCTCCCGTACCTGCAAGACATCCAATAAGGACACATCGTCAAACCAAAATATTCACAGAACACAAACATGATATTGTTGCACGAATTAAGCAACTTATTCTGTACAGAGCTGAGCAACCTGTCAGCACTCAACCACTAATAAATAACAATCACTCTTAATTACAGACAACACTAACAAAGGCCAATCCTATATCCAAACAGAGAAGGAATCCAGTCACAACTAAAGTAATGCTTAATTAATAAAAAGTTGCCTTTTTGGGACCAAAATAAGTAAGAGTATAATATGAGAAGGATTCCAAATGTTACCAACTAAAACATGTATACACCAAAACCTCTAGAACATCAACTGCTGGCCCTCTCTGTCAAGGTGGAATGAATAGGCTAAAACCAACCCAGATCAACCAGGCGTCCAGAGAGACGCTCCAATGACTCAGACTGACACTCTCAGTAGTGAAGCTGAGCAGACCCCCAACTTGAGAACAAAGGACTGGAAAGTATGAGATGAGGGATACATTGGCTCTGGAAGAAGCTTGAGAGCTCTCTCACCTGGGAACCCGACTAAGGAAGGAAGAAGTCAGAGAGAAAGAGAGAAGCAGAGAGCCTGGAAACGGAGTTCACTACAGCTTGGCTTGGTGGATTGCTCTGGGCTAACCAGAATGGACTGTTCTTTAACCTTCTTTACTCTATGAAAACCTAAGGCCTTCAGTGCTGTGTCCCAGTTGGCTAATAAACCCTACCATTTGGAAAACGCTGGTTAAGTGTCACTGTAAATGCTTGGTGAGGTGCATTTACCTCCAAAAGTGTACAAGTCTCTAACCAGGAGAGTATCTCAGTTGGCCTTGCTGAACAGCACTCTCAGAGTGAAGCAGGAATGCTGAAGCCCAGAGATTCAGTCTCACGGAGGTAGTGAGGTCACATGGCCTACACTGAAGGAAGAGAGAGTCCCCTTAGGGTCTGGCACATCAAAGGGGTTTCTCCAAGATACTGTTCCAAAGCTGGGGGTGTAGCATCAATCCTGTGGATCCATGACAAATCTACCAATGACCTTTTGAGCATGTATTTATAGTTATTTAAATTAGTACAAAATGTTTAGCATATGTAAACTGTACAGCAAGGACAGGGTGATTTCAAATGGAAAAGACTCAAGATATTACGGTGATGGGGATAGATGGATACCTTCTCCGTAAAGAACAAAAATAAATTTGAAGACACATTAACAATTAGGGCTCTGCAAAACTTTAAGTTTGATCCTAATTTGTTAACAAGCATTCATTCATTCACTTGAATTTGTTTTGAATTTATTCCATAAACGTTAGCCAGAGCTAGTGAGAACCAAAAATTGTTTTAGCTGGATGTCCAAATACATTTTAAGTACTGGTACATTTCAAGTTTGAGCTGTATTTGCTGGGAAAGGTCACCTGGCATTTTTCTTTGTCTGTGATTGGCTGAGCACACCAGGAGGGTCAACAGAAGCTATTTTACTTCTTTGGGCCGTGTTTTAGAACAGACAGAAAATAAAAACATTTTATCCTCACCTTTATCTCTGGCAGATGTGGCCCAGGCAAGCATGTTAATATTCTTATTATTCCAACAATTAAAAGACACAAATTGTTTTATTATTTACACTTATTAATGCATAGGTGAATCCATAAAGCTTTCTATACAAGTGCTTTTTTTAAAAATGCACTGACTTTTCCATGGTGCTCATTACTGTGGTATCCAAGCACTTCACAATCATTAATTAAATTACTCTCACAACACTTCTCTGGGGAAGGGAAGTATAATTATCCCTATTTTACAGTTGGGGAAACAGAGCCCAGGAGAAATTAAATGACTTCCCCAAGGTCATACGGGAAACCTCTTGCAGAACAGAGAATAGAACCTCATTAGTATTGCTCACAAGGCCACAGTTCCTTACACTGAGAACAATAAAATGAATTCCCCATAAAATTCTACCCCACTAAGAACAGCAAATTTGACTTAATGGAATACTCTCTCCCCCTCCTTTCAGAGAGGCACGTGGAGTTGTGGGTATCATGCCACCAGGCTCCTCCTCTTCCACATTGGTACTCTCATCTATTCTGCAGTCTGTCCCCCCTTATCTTCATTACTGGTGTCCTCACTCATTCTCCTCTTTTCTATATTTACTTTTATCTATTTCAATTTGTAATAATACATTAAATCAAAACATTCTTACTCAAGCACAATATTTTGAAAACAAAAAAGTTTTACTAAGTGGCACAATGCCTAACTTTCCCCCACATAAAAGGACCATAAATCCCTTCAGAACAACCTCTGTGGGAATAGACAGGCCTTGCAGAGTATTAGAGAGGTCGGCAAACTCTTGGTATGTTGGACCAGTGAGGGGCAATGAGCTTCAGAGAACCCTCTCAGCCCTCTCTCATGACATTCAAAGATGGAAAGCCAGATTCTCTTGAACCCTAATCTTTTCATACATCAGAGCCTCAGATCCCATGGGATTTGTTTTGACCGTACAACACTGTCCATTTCAATCTGATGGGATGGTTCAATAAAAAAAATCTTTTTTACCCAATATACATTTGAAAGCAGCTTTAGAATATTTGCTTTTAAAATGTGTTTAACAAGAGTTAAATCTGGAGATGACAGTGCACATTGACAAACTGCTCACAAAGAGATAGCAAGGAGAGGAGGGGGAAAGACCATGAGGTTTATGAAGTGGATTATTGAAATGAAGTGTATGTGCACAAACACACACATACACTGCAGTTTTCCATTACACAAATGTCTATCCATATAAACATACGGATGCAATTTTTGAACTTTTACTAGAAGGCTTACCATAGTCTACTGATTCCAGAGTAGGCATTAAACAAAATGAGTCCCACTGATAGGGCATATTTTATTCATATTTTATTCATACAGAATATGATAGATATAATTTAAATACTTTTAGGAGTGTAAACACATCCTTGATCCCCATTACCCTTCAATGCTAGGAGGCTACCTCACACAGCACCCAAGCTCCTGCTGGACCAAGAAAATGAGAACTCAAATTCAGATCAGCCTACATGGTATAGCACGCACAGCTTACTGGATTTTGGGGTAAAATTTGAAACCAAGATTGGCCTTAACAATTATAGGAGCTTAAACTGCACTCTTATTTTTGAAGTTTTTGTCTTCAACTGTACAACTTTTATTAGTAGTTTTATATAAAAAAAATTTTCAAGTGATGGCAAGATTAGGTACTAGAAAAAAAGAGAAAAATGGCAGCTGATTTTCTGGGATTTCTTCCATCTGTTGCCCCCTCCTTCCACTTCCCTCCAAAAAGAAGAGAACAGTGAGAGTTGAGGTTATACAGTCAACATGAATTTTGGGAGTTTTATTTAAATTGACACATTTGTTTTTTAACTGCTACTTCAATTAACTATTACTCACGAAACCAATGAGACTACTAATGTACTGTGTTTAAACTTAAACACGTGTAAATGTTTGAAGGATCAGAGCTCCAATGACTCTCAAAGTGGCAGATGTGCTAGCGTGTTCTTTTTTCTGTTCCTGTATATTATTGTGCATTCTTTTGAAGTGGGAACAAAGTCTTTAAACATAATTGCTACAAATTATTTAACCCAGCAACAAAAGCAGCTGTTCAAAAATTATTTAAAGCCATTTTTTTATTTACATTTTTATGTAGACGTGGGGGAAAAAAATGTAATGAGAGACTTCCACCAGGTTTTCTCTGCAGCATTGAATGGAATACAGCGAAACTACTCACTGGTGGAATCTTTTAAGGACACAGATGGCTCTTATCTCCTGTTTATGTATGGGGGAATTACATGCTTAAAAATTCCTTGTGCATTCAGGGTAACATTGACCACAAACAGGGTTCAAGAATTCAGGTAGATATTTCCACGTAAAATATGTCTAGATCTCTTTTATATGGAAAAGAGTTTGGTTATAAGAGCTTGACTACACATTTTGGAGCAGTGACTGAATTTACTTTACACATATGTAAAGTGTAGGGTTGCCAATTTTGGTTGGATGTATTCCTGGAGGTTTCCTCACATGACAAAATCTTTAATTACAGATTAATCTTAAATTCCTGGAGATTCCAGGTCAATCCTGAAGGGTTGGCAACCCTAGTAAAGTGCCATTGGGGGTAGGTGGAAGGCCTTCAACAGCACATGTGGTGGATGGGGTACAAAATCACCCCATTCCTGGTATTGGCCTTCATTATTAACCATAAGCAACATAAGAAACCTCTCCTGCATTTGCCTGTTCCTGAGGTTTCTTTCTGTACCTGCCCTCACTTTATTTTGAAGCAGTGGAAGGCTCACACCTTTCTTTTATTGCTGGATTGGAGATTACAGGAACTACCTGGTTCAGGTGCATCAGCAGAAATAGATCGGCATCTTTATGCAGGGTCCTAGAACCTGACTGTTCTCACAACCATATACACTGAGGATGCTTTATAAATACAAACCAACAATAATAGAAGGTGAAATACACCCTTGACAGATCTTGATTGTAAGCTCTTGGAGCTGGGACCCTGGCTCCAATTCTTTTCTCATATCTGTGTAAATCAGGTATAATTCTATTGAAGAAATTAGGCCAGTATAAAATCAGTTCACATGAAAAGAGAATTGAGTCCACCATTGTCTTCTGTCTGTACAGCACCAAGCACACTAGTGGAGCTTTATAAAAGACAAATAATCATCTAGTTTGCAAAGACACAAGCCTTTCTTATTAAGGCATTTGGTACATATGATCATTTCCTCAGGTAGAAAAATGAGGAAATACCTCTTTGTGTTTGGCAGTTTTATGTAACTAATGTTGTCCTGATTTTACACAAATATCTTTATGAAATGACACAATTAATTTTCCCTTGAATGGTTCTCATCCCCGAAGTCCCTCTTCATGCCCTTTGTCATGGCTACCAACTAACCATCCAACCTTCCAGACAAAAGATGAGATTTTCTTTGGAGGATTTCAGGATAACTCCTAAAGGGCTGAATGTGCTGCCTCTGCAGC